TCTCAAATAAATAAATAAAATCTTTAAAAAAATAAAAAAGAAAAAAAAGAAAAGAAAAGAAATCCTACATTTGGGTTTTATAGCAGACCCCACAAATTGTGTAGCTGGTCCTGTTTCCAGTAGATGGTTAAATACAGACAACTGCATTTTGGGGAATGTGAGAGAAAGTTCTTGCACAACGAATTTTTTGTCCATACCCACATATCCCATGGAGGAAAATGTAGGGCAGGATCCTGTAGACCAGATTTTGCTTTGTGTCACCTACAAACAATGTGAATTAGAGGTAGATGCCTAATTCCTCTGAGCCTCTTTGTTCTCAGCTGCAAAATGGGATGATAATATTTATTCTATTTTATTTCTAGTAAACTGTGAAGCCTTTGTAGAAATACAAAGCCTTTCCTTATGTGAGGATAGATCGAGGAGATGCCACAGGAAGGGGAAGATTCCAGGACGTACCCAATGTTGCTCAGAGCTGGCCTTATCACTGTTCTCCTGCTGTTCCTTAAAGGAATCTCATGCTGCAACCCATGCAATTTCAAAAAACCAACTCATGCTCATGTCACTGTCCTGCTTAAATCCCATCAGTGGATCCTGTATGCTCTTAGGATAGGGCAGGGGTCTTGTATCAGTGACCTGGGGCCCTGAAGTCCAGGTCTCTTATATACTAAAAAGGACCCCAAATAAAGAATAACCTGAATAAATGGTTTGTGAAAATGACCGAAGAAGGGCCTGGGTCACAGATGTTCTCTCTAAATCAAATGGATGGTCCAAGCATATTGTTCACCCTGCCTTTGAGACCCAAGAAGGAAGGAACCGGGTCTTATTCTTCATCTAGGACCTAGAGCAATGCCTGGTCTGGAGTGGATATAAGAGAAGTTAAATGCTAGACGTGGAGGCAAGAAGCTTGGGGTCATATCTTCCCCTGCCACCTATTAGGGCTGGGACCTTGGGCAAGTCAGTGAGCCTCTAATTCTTCTCAGAGTTGCTGTGAGGATTACATAAGGCATGGCAAAGCAGTGTCTGCTCCAGTGCCTGGCACGAGGTAAGGAGCCAGTATGTGGTAGGTGCTATTCAACAAATTATAGGATCTAGAGTTGAGTGTATCAGTAGCAGTTACCTTACTAAAGCAGTTTGATTTTTAGAACCCTTATATTGTGTAGGGAATCATCATTTTACCTAAAAATAATACACAAATGTACTTGAATATAGTCAAGATTATTATTATTAAATTTCTTTATGACTAGACCTGGAACTTCTAAAGGTAATTCAATTTCAGATTCTGATTTTCGTTGCTCTATCATTTTTTTGCACCTCTTACTTGTGGATAGTTTTCTAATGAATGTTTACAAATAATAACTGTAAATCACCTACTTTTAAAAACCCCAAAACCTCCTTTTTCAACTTACCCTTCTATATCTCAATTCAATTCCTTTTAATGTTTCACACCCTTAGTCTCTCAGGAGGTTATAGGGCTGTTTTGTAATGGTTTGTTTTGTTTTTCCGAAAGGGCAATCCCTGAATAAAATGTGGAACACTGCTTAATATTTCTGAACACACCTCCTGGGGTCCTCTTCTAGAGAACACTCAGTGATTTCAGAGTAAACCATTTTTTTCCAGAATCCCTCATGGTGGCCCCATCTAACCATTTTGGAGACACGAACCCTTTAATCTATTTAAAGCAATTGATACCCTCCCCAGGAAAATGCATGAAAAATTTTGCATGCACTGTTTTTCCCAAAACCCAGAGAGTTTATGAGCCCCATGAAGTCCACCCATGGTAGATGAGTGGTCTCAGGGCACCTGGGTGGCTCAGTTGGTTAAGCAACCGACTCTTGGTTTCAACTCAGGTTGATCTCAGGGTCATGAGATCGAGCTTAGCTTGGAGTCTGCTTGGGACTCTCTCTCCCTCTGCCCCTCCCCTCTGCTCTCTCTAAAATAAATAAATAAATCTTTAAAAAAAAAAAAATCCTAGACTCTCAAGCCAAACTGGATTCACAACCCAATTTCTTCATTTATTACCTAAGTGATGGGGCAGGTCACCTAACCTCTCAGTGCTCAGTTTCCCCAACTGTGAAATGAGACAGCAATGATAACAGTGCCCACATAGGGTAGCTGTAGGACTTAAATGGAGTAAGAAGAGTGTCTGGCATATGGTATCTGCTTAATTATTATCTGTAGAATAAATTGACTCAAAGTCCAGAATATTAGGCAGGTAGTTGCTAAAATTAGATCAACCGACACACATTAATCTTCACCTTCCACCATAAAAATCCAATTTGGAATCACACTACTCACTTTGGTAAATTTGCTTGATTAGAGTGTTTAGGGCAACATAGTAAGATCAAATCATTGTAGCCAAAGTTGTTTTTCAGGAAATTATTTGAGACCAAGCTGAAAGCCCTAAACCTAGTAATCAGGAAAGTATCCTAATACACTTCCTAAATGTGTATTCCTCACTGGGACTCACAGTCCTAAGAGATAGACCATCATTGTTTGGTCTGATTAGTAGAGGAAGGAGATAGGACATGGAAAGGTTGCCTTTCCAGGATACTGAGTATTTTTTTGTGTTCCAGGTAAACAACCTGGGAGTAGGCAATATCATCCCTGTTATACAGCAGAAGAAACTGAGGCTCAGAAACATTACCCAAGGTCATACAAGTGGTGACCAGATTCAAACCCAGCTCTCCCTGACGCCTAAGCTCGGACTCCTGGTCCCTACAAGGTGAGGTGGCCACATAAAGCAGGGTTACCTCAGACTTTTCGAGACAGTGCTCTCACCACTGAGTTTTTAGACTCCTGCTCACCCTCATGACTCAGGGGTTGCTTTTCTCCTGGCTGAGGAGAAAGGTACTCAAGATCTTAAAGAAAAATGGAGACCCAGCTTCTCAGACAAAGAAGCTGGCATCACCACAGATCCTCCATCTCTTGTGGAGAAATGGTCTCAGATGCCCTTCCCGTCGGCTGGAGGGGGGGGGGGGGTATTGCCCATCCCTCACAAACACTAAAGGCGGAGATGAATGTGGCTGCTTTCACACAAGGGCCACTTCTGGTTTCTGGTTTCCCTCCCCACTCAGCCTACCCCTTGGGAGGGCGTTTCAGCTACTCGTCATAATGAAAGTGACGTTGGTTTCTCTGCCACGAGTGAATGAGGGGTGAAGAGAGGTATCTTCTTTGTTCCTGGAGCCTGCCCTGGCATTGACCTCGTGCTCCTCAGAAGACTGAGGGGTGCTGAGCGCACCAGCGGAACGGGAGCAGAGCCGGCCCCTGGTGAGGCAGCGGCTCTCTCTGGCTCCCCAGTCATGTCCTGGCAGCCGTCTGCAGTGGTGGTGCTCTTCGTGTCTCTGGCTGGTGAGTGACACCTGTGGCTTTCCATGGTGACCCTGCCAACTCTGGTCCTATTTGATTCAAATGCGTTCTAGTGCCACGGACCAAGGGGAGACAGGACAGCCTGGAGAACAGCCATATGGCTTCAGCTACTGTGGGTATTTGGCTTGGGGAGACCTCCTCCTTATTACCTTAAATGTGTGGAGCACACTTTCCTGTTTCTCCCAAGGGCTTTCACAGTTTGGACTTGTTTTGCATGAGTCAGGCAGAGTAGGTGTCAACTCCAGAAGGCATCCTGGTTCCCGGATGGGTTCTGGGCACCTTATCAGGGAGAGTTTTGGAAATCACGTAGATTTAAGAGATGGAGAACTGAGCCAGACTTTAGAAACGGGACTCTTGCTAAGCGCATTATGTCTTGCTTTGCCTGTTTTTCTCGAACGGAAGTGCTATGTTTGCATTACATAAACAGTGAGTTGTGAAGATGAATGAGATGTGGTCTGGCAAGCTGTGCCATTTCAGAGAGGTATGAGCTAAGGAGTCAAGATTGTTTTAAAACATTACTATTATACTTCAGGTCAGAGAAGCTGTCTGGGAAACTAGGCTTTTAATGATTATTTTTTGTGCCCAACCCCTGCTTTCACAAAGAGCATTTTCTCTCTAGGACATTGAGTCCTCTTGTGTGTCATTACCTAGTTGCTGGTTAATTCACAATTCCTTCCAGAAGCACTGAGTTGAACATGTGAGGGAACCACATGGTCCCGCTAACATGCTCCGTGGGGGGAATGCAGAGGCACTTGATTGTGACATGAATTGTCAGAAAGTTGGGTGAAAGTTCAGGCCAGTGTCCTAATCTGTGGCTGTTTTACTTCTGCCACATTTTCAGAAATAGTTTCACATTCTTCTGGAGGCAAAAGGCGAAATCTAAGCTAATAAAAAGGCAAAAGATCTCAGTCTAGCAGTCACCCTCAGTGACCTGTGAGCAGATGACTAGCAGATTCAGAAATGCAATGAGTGCTCAGTAATTCCCGGGGAGGTGGACAGGAAATACCCCGCTGCCCTCCTCTCTCTGAGCTGCAGATTCTCCAGGGTGAACCAAGTGAACAAAGTGTGTGAAGGGTCCCCATTTTCCAGATTAAGGAATTGCTGGTGGTCCCTCAACTAGCAAGGGGCAGCCCTGAGATTTGCATCCAGGAAGCCTGGTTTCAGGGCCTTGCACGCATAGGTTCAAGACATACTTGTTGAATTGGAGATGAGCAAAAACCATTGGACATTTTGGTAGGAGGGACATAGCTTCTAGGTAAATTAGCTCTGTAATCTTTATCCACTCACTTTGCTGCCCTGGTCTCAAATTTCTCCCCCACAAAATGAGGGGATTTAAATTTGTATCAGTTACATTTAGCTTCAGCTGCTCCTAATAGACAAATAGGAGCAAAATAAACAAGATAAATGTGTGTTTCTCTTTCATGTGAAAACAAGTCCAGAAGAATCCATCCCAGGTCCGGTGTGGGAGCTCATTATCGTGGACTCTCCCTCCTATGTGTGACTCCCACCTGCAAGTTCTTTTCATGGTTCTAAATGTCTGCCGGATCTCCAGCCATCACATACAATTTGCAGGCTGGTTTGAAAAGGAAAACATAAAGGCAATAGAGTGGTCACGTAGGAGATGGAGTCCCCTTCAAGCAGCATTCCCAGAAGGCCCACATAACGCTATCACTTCTACTGCTTTGGCTCAAATGCAGTCACACATTCCCACCCAGATGGAAAGGAGTCTTGGAGGTAGGGTTCCTTATTCTGGGCAGCAAGTGCACAGCTTAAATTTGTGGTTCTGTTACTAAGGAAAAAGGGGAGGCTGGATTTGGGAGTAGTTAACCAGCAGTCTGTGCCACGGGACTGGAGCCACTTCTGTATGGGGGTTCTCTTTGAATCTCAAGTCCCACAGAAAGTAACAGGTAAGATTTATATCTTTTTACTAAAAGATTGAAGGTTAAATTGTGAAACTGTAAACAGAATCTTAACTAAGGGCCCACCCCTGCTGCCTCACACATCCAGAAACCGTCTTCCTGCTGCACCCAACTGGGGCTGCTTCTGCTCCCTGGGGAGGTGCCAGAGAAAGTATATGGGGGCTAAAATTCAGTTCCCTGCCCCTGGGTGTGGCCACGGGGCTACATTTACTTCCCAACTGTGTTCCCAACTGCAGACAAAGGGTAGCCTCCAAGACCTGCCAGGCCAATTCCCAGCTGGCCCCTCACCTCACCTCCCTCCTCCTTATGTTCCCATCATGCTTTACCCCCTTGCTATTCTCCAGACCTACCAGACTCTGAAGACCCTGTGTCTTTGCACATACTTTTCCCCCTGCCTGGGATACCACTTACTTTCTTGTCTGCCTAAAGAATTTGTCTTGGTGTTGGATTCCCCACCCCACCTCATAGCACTCAGGGCTTCCTTCTATAATAACGCTTGTCACACCGAGGAATGGGGTCCACTTATGTGTCTGCCTCACAAGGCTTTGAGCCCCTGAAAACAAAGACCCAGTGCCTGGCAAGGAGCCTGGCTCAGAAGAAGCTCCTACATATCTGTTGAATTGGGTGTGGCAGGGAAACCAAACAAAGGCTATCTGGGAAGGACCAGCCATCCCGGAAGTACCTAGAGAAAAAAACCCTTGCATGGTCACTGAGTTTCCCAGGGCTGGGCTGATGAGTCATCTCTCAGCTCCTTCTATAGGTTGTAGGGGAATCCAAACCCTCTCGCACCTCTTCCTGCAGCTCATCATCTAGAGGAGTCCAAGCAATGGGTCTAGGTTCTGGGGTACTTGTTTGCTGAGTCTCCTGAATCCTGGAGAGAAGATGCTAGAGGATTTGGGGTGTGGGTTTGACAAATCAGCGTGTGAACTCCAGGGCTGTGTCCTTTTGAGTAGAGGAAGGGTTGAGACAGATTCTGAGCTATGTCCTGCCCTTGCCCACTACCCTCTTTGTAGGTGTCAGACAGACTTGCGAACTTAACCTTTACAGAGTCAAAGGTCCTGTTTAAGAACTGTGACCCAATTTTGACAAAGATTGGTCATATACTGTGTGGTCATATACATAGACTTTATAAAATAGAGTATTTTTCAGAGCCTTATTTCTATTAACTACCTAACATATGAACATTCTAGAATGTATTATAATGCACAGCATACCTACTCCTATCAGTTTTCCATCTAATTACCTGCCCATCTTTTATACCCCACACTTGTACCGGGAGATGTGAAGGGGAGGAGAGAAGCCGCAGAAGGGAAGGAGAGGATTATTAGAACAATATTTCCCAGTTCTATCTGGGAACACACTCTGGTTCAATCTGTAACACACTCTGACACTTGGTCCAGCCACCTGCTGGCCCAGCCTTCTGCCTACCACAAAGCCACACACTATATCAAGACACCATGATTGCCATCACCTTTAGCCACCCTATAAATAGTTCCTGTGCACCAAATACACCTTGATGGGTACCATGAGTCATCTTGTCCTGTTTTGGAGGCTGCGTGCTACCCAGTTGAGGATATTCTACTCAGTTGAGAAAGGTTTGCTTTAGTTCATAAGCATATACCGTGCATGGTGAGATTTTTTGAAGGATCTAATGATCACCCCCCACCCAAGAGAACAAAAGGCTAGTGGTTTCCAGTCTCCCAGAGTTCTCTGCAGCAATCTTTGCTTACCACTACAAGATATTCCTCAAGAGTCCATCTGGGAGTGAATTCTCTTTCTTCATAGTAATAGTGTAAATTTAATGGGGTTTCTGTTAGGGTCATGACTGAGGAACCAGCAACTCAGATTTAGCCCAAATGAATTGTGAAAATAAATCTTTCACAACTGTCAACCTTCATACCAATCTTGAAAGGAAAAGTCTTGCTCCAAGTTCTACAATGCAGGCATAAAGTGTCCACATATAGTGATTTTATGAAGGCTTACAAGGAAAACCTACAGTCCATAAAATCCACACTCTCAAGTATCATACATTTCAAATTATCCAAATGAACATTTTAGATACAAAAAAACCCAGTTAGTAATAGTCTCACATAACTTAATGTCATTAATAAGCCTTTCTTTCTTTTTTTTTAAGATTTTATTTATTTATTTGACAGAGAGAGAGAGAGAGAGATAGCCAGAGCAGGAACACAAGCAGGGGGAGTGGGAGAAGCAGGCTTCCCGCTGAGCAGGGAGCCCAATGCGGGGCTTGATCCCAGGACCCTGGGATCATGACCCGAGCTGAAGGCAGACGCTTAATGACTGGGCCACCCAGGCGCCCCTAATAAGCCTTTCTTAAAGGTTATTCAAGGCAATTTGAACTGGTGCTTTTGTCTTTCTCATTTTTCAAGCCAGCTGTGCAGAAATAATTTATAAGCATTACTACTGGGCTTGAAGTTAGAACTTTTCTTCTGGAAAATAATCACTATTTTATCATATAAGCTTTTGAAACCCTCACCAAAGACCATCATTATGAGGGTCTGGTAATTTGGCGTCCCTGGAGAGGCACCCTACTCTTCTTCTCTGTTTTTGTCTCTTCTCTCACCATTCTTCCCAGTGATGCACACCACCTCCACCCACACCAAATCCAAGGGCAGGCTTTGGTTCAGACAGGGGCTCAAGTCTCACCTCCAAAATTTACTAAGTGTCTCACTTCCAGAATATACTAGTTGTGGGATTATGGTCAAGTTGATGGGATTTTTCTAAACCTGAGTTTCCTCATCTGAAAGGTTGATAAAGATAGAACCCATCAGAGGGTTTTTGAGAGGAGTTGGTGAAAGATGACCCTGACCTGAGGCCTGCCATGTAGTGTCCAATAACTTGGACATTTTATTGCTATTATTATAGTAAAAGTAACCACTTAGAAATATAATGAATGAAAGAGGGAGATAGTAAAGGAGTTTATGGATGATTTTGATTAGATGTGAATTTCAGGACTCTAAACACCAGCATAGAGTGATCTCCTTTCCCTTTTACCCATGTTTTCCCAAGTCACTGGCCAGCACTGTGGAGCTCCAACTCCAGTGAGTGTAAATACAATGGGCAAATACAATGAAACCAAAGCATTGAAGAGACAGAGCCATCTCTCAGTGTGCCTGATTCTAAACTCTCAAGGAACATCATCTGCATTTTGCTCAGTTTTCGGATTTGCTATGTGCTTGGGACGAGGCAAGGATAGAACTATTCTGGTTGAAAAAGAGCCAGAACCCTTCCATCCTTAAAGAATGTCCCAGGAGAGAACCTGTGACAATAACACACACTATAGGTATGCTTGACGGTCCAGGAAGATTTCACTTAAACCAACTTGTTTGAGCCTTACAATAATCCTAGAAGGTCTACAATGCTATTATCCTCATTTACCCATCCACTTATCTATTCATCCAATTCGTATGCACTGAACACTTTCTGTGCTTAAGTCCTGGTGGTAAAAAAAAATACAATCTCCACCTTGACGTTGCTTTTAATCTAGTGGGAGAGATGCACAGTCTAAATAAATAAACCAATAAATAAACATATAATCAGGGCTATTATTCTGCTGGTACACGCTGTGTTGCCAGGCTTACTATTAAATATGTTAATACCATCCCCTCATATCATTACAAGTTGTGATTAGTGCAGTGCAGGCAATGGATATAACACGTGATGGGGAATTGTGGGGTGGGGAGCTATTTTATATAAGGATGTCAGGGAAGACTCTCTGAAGATCTGGCATTTGAGCAAACTACGAAGGACAGTCCACCAGATGCATCAGAGCAATTATGGCTTAATTTTCTTTCCTACTTGAGAAAGCCTGGACCATTCAAAAGGTGAGGTAATAAATGACAAGAACTGGTCTCTCTTTGCAAAAACTGACAGCAAAATAAAAAATGGAAGGGAAATGAATCTCCCATCACTGGAGGTATTTATGCATCGATTGGATGGACACGTGGCAAATATTCGTAGGTACAATTCAGACACCAGATTAGGGTTTGGACTAGATGATCATTAAGACTCCTTTCAAACCTGGGATTGTATGATTGTATGCAAACTACACAACTCCGTGTAAGTCTTTATTACCACTATTCATGCTGTCCAGCTCTATCAGGGCATCACAGCAGCACCCCACCCAGGACCACTCTCCATTCGGAGCTGTCTGGATTCACACTGGAAGATGGGGAATGAGGGGGCATCCGCACTTAAATTAAGCATGACCACTTCGCGGCGTTAGTACCACACCCTGTACAGACAATGGGGCTGGACACAGAAGAATATCTGCAGTGTGATCACAACCCTGTAAAAAACATGGGTGCAACCCAAACTTTTAAGCTGTGGCCTTGTGGTAGAATCTTTGGTGATCTTCACTTCATTGTTATATCCTTATAAATTTCACCCAAATATAAATATATGCACATTCCTCATTAAAAGTAAATGAGCATGTTTGGAAATAACAAAATAAATCATGTTTATCTCCAAAAGAAAAGTAGAACTACCATGTGATCCAGCAATCACATTTCTGAGTGTATGTGTATACGAAGGCAATAAAGCCACTATGTCAAAGAGAAAAGTAAATAAATAAATGCGTGTTAATTTGTTGGGCAGAAACATCAAAATGGGGGTGGGGGAGGGAGGCACCAATGTGAATTCTTAGTGTGGTCACACTTTTATTTCCTAATTTGCAGGGACTTTGCATTATGGCAGTCAAATAAGAGCAAAAATGTTTCCAGAAACCGCGGACTATCAACCTACAATAGCAGCAACAGCAGAGGCCACAGCAAAGCCTTTCCTGCAACTAACTCACCAAGTCCCCGGCCAAACTTTAGCAGCCAGATCAATGGATGGTCACGTCCCCTCTCAAAGAGCTGCCCCAACCTCCAGCTCTGAGCCCCCAACCACACATACAACAGTAAAATCTCTGGTAACAACTTCCTTGATAGCTACAAACAGCACCCCAGCTACCAGCCCGACAGCCCACACCCTAGTCACAACCTTGGCCACACCCAATAACTCCCACACAGCTGCTCCAGTTACTGAGGTTACAATTGGCCCCAGTGCAGCTCCAGGTTCACCGCCAACCACCATCCCTCCAGCGGCACATATGACAGGAACCAGCCCACCAACTGTCAGCCACACAACTAGGAAAAGCACCCAAACCAGTCACCAGACCGCCCTTCCAGCAACTTTGTCCACCCCACTACATAACAGCACAACCAGTCACAAGTCTGCTCAACCCAGTCATGCCCCAGGCCCAACCCCAGCTGCGCACAATACCACCCAAACGGCCTCACCTGGCACCACGGCTTCCAGACCCACTCTTGCACCTCGGGCTTCGTCAGCCAAGACTGGAATTTATCAAGTTCTAAATGGAAGCAGGCTCTGTATCAAAGCAGAGATGGGGATAGAGCTAACGGTTCAAGACACAGAGTCGGTAAGTTGGGGCCATAGGACTGTAACACTGTCTTCAAAAAGTGTGAGTATGGTGTGTCTTGCTGAGAATAGGCATTCCCCTGCATCTTGTGTCTTTTAATGAAATAAAGGGCTGCAAGCTCCTCTTTCTCCAAGGTGCTCCATTAAAAGATGAATCTGTTTTAGAAAACATACAAAAATAAAAACTGATAGAGACTGGTTAGAGAAAGGCACACACCAAACCTGTAACTATGCATACCTCTCACTTTTAGCCAACATGGACGGAGTGTTGGGGTGCGCTCCGTGTTGACCTCAAGCCTCAGCAACTCTCCTGTGAAGTGAGGGGTTTGGCTTGCATGGTCTCCATGGTTCCAGCCAGCTGCAACATTAGTATCAAAAGTCCAGGTTAACAAGAAGATTAGAAGGGGTGGCGGTGGGGTTAAGATTATTCAATTTACTAAAGGAATCACCATAAAAATAATACTTTCTTTTTCTGCACAGGTTTTATGAAACTTCCACATTCAGGTTTTCATTTGAAACAGAAGTACATTAGACAGCAAGATCTTTCCTGTAGTACCTTGTAACATGTTTAATTTAACAAAAATTAAATTCTATGCAGTATGTCAGGAAAAGACTGGCTATAAATGATCTATCAAGGACTCTTACTATGGGAGAACTCCTTTAAAAAATCTTTGAGGGAGACAAACCATAAGAGACTCTTAATCTCAGGAAACAAACTGAGGGGGGATGGGGTGGCTGGGTGATGGACATTGGGGAGGGTATGTGCTATAGTGAGCGCTGTGAATTGTGTAAGACTGGTGAATCACAGACCTGTACCTCTGAAACAAATAATACATTATATGTTAATAAAAAAATTGAAAAAAAAAAAACAATCTTTGAACATAGCAGTTTGGGAATGAGAGGTGTTTTCTGGGGACTTGGAAGTTTTCGAGTGAACACGCACTAGACTTGAGTTTCGGGCTCACTTAGTAGCCTGCGCTTCTGGTTCCCTAGCTAGAGCTTTCTTTGATATCTCATTGATCTGATCTATTTTATTTGGTTTAGGTGTTTTCACTTCAGAGATACTTCAACATCGACCCTAATGCAACCCAAGCTTTTGGGAACTGTGGCTACCGAAAATCCAACCTTCTCTTGAATTTCCAGGGCGGTTTTGTGAATTTCACATTTACGAAGGTGAGGGCTGAGCTCCTTCATACTAACTGGCTCTAGCATCGCTTTCCCTTTCCCTCACCCTGGGGTCCGGTGGTGCAACCCCATACTTCACTTTAAGTTCCAAAGGAAGTAGATCTCAGAGCCTTTTGAGATATTCCCCGATAAGAATGAGGGGCATGGAGATGGAGAAGAGGGAAGTGTCGACATCTTATGTTTGCCTCCTAACCCCTTAAGCCTCCTCCGTGCAACCCAAGAAGGGCTTCAGTGCCTCTGAGGGGGAGACTTGGCCTTGGGGAACCCAGCCACAGGCGCCCTTTGCAAACCACCCAAAGGAGGAAGTTATACAGATCAACAGACCCATTGAAATTCCCAGTGGGCACACAGAAATATTATTCTCAGACCAAAATCAAATGTCACCATGGGTTCTTTCCAACTGTGGCAGGCAAGATTCAGGGACTAACCAGGCACTGGGTTTTCCAGACCATATTACAAAAGGGATGGACAACAGAGTGGAGCAGAAATACGATGGACATGAGGTCAGAGAGTCTTGGCTGAAATCTGACTCTGTCACTGTTCTCCTTGTGACATCAGGCAGGCAACTTAACCTATCTGAGCTTTATTTGAACACTTGAGAAATGGGGGAAGGGAATTAAAGATCACCTCTGTAAAGAGCATTGTTCAGTACTTGGAAAGTAGATGTTCAAGAGCCAGTAGCTATGATTACAGTGGCTCAAGTGGGTAAGTGTCTTGGCGATACAACGTTGGTCATCCCACTCTCAAAGGAGAGACTTATCCCTGCTTCTCCCAAAGTGTCATTCAAATAGGCCAAGTAAGAGCTGGCCAGGGCGGGGGCATGGGGGTGGGGCGGCGTGCTTGCCAAGAGTACACTTGCAGCTGGGACTTGTTGTGGGCCTCCTTCTTACCTGTTGAATGTGACCCCTGAAGTTAGAGAGGTCTTGGGTGGCAGAGCTTGGAGAGGAATGAGCATAAACATAGGCATGAAACAAGTCAAGATTGGCTCTCAGCCATGATACTGATTAGCCACATGATCTTGGACTAGTTGAGGCATGTTTTCTCATCTATAAAATGGAAATAATGACACCTCCTTAGTGGGACCCTTGGGAGAATCAGAAATGGTATATGTAAACTGTCTTGCACAGTGCTTGGTATATAACAATGTTCAATAAAGGGTGTTGACATTCTTAACCTCGTGTCAAAGGCTTTATCCTCCTTGTGCATATGGTTCTCCTTAAGGTAGAGATGCACTGGAGAAGTCAGGGGTTTCCCTTCAGTATCAGATGGGAAAAACATATTCTTTCACACCAGAAGAACATTCTGGGAAGAATATGTGCTCTACTTCTGGACAACTGAGATTAAACCTACAGAGGGGTCAGGAATTCTTTTAAAGTCACTTCAGCAAAAGGGCAGAGGGTAGAGGCACAAACATCTCTGCTTTAGCTCAGGGCCTGATTCCACCCACACTCCTGCCCGTGTGAGTAACTGTCTGAAGGCATCAGAAAACCTCAGCGTTTTCTGTAGCACACAGTGGCCACTGCCTTAGGCAGGCCTGCAGGAGTTTCTCTGGCACCTTTCAATGTCTCTTTTTGCTCCTTTCCTCTGTCTCCTGATGCCCTCTCTGCCTGCCTTTCCAGTACCTTCAGACTGGATTCTGTTTGATCAAACTCCACCCAACAGTCAAACTGCTACCTTTCTGGAAATCTCTGTGTCTCCAGAGGTATGGGTAGGAAATGAGTACTGAGATAGAGCTAGAAGGACCAGCAGGGCCTCTCTCCCCTCCACCCCTCTTCTGGAAGAAGCAAGGAGAGCCACCATCCGTGGCCCCAAGTTTGCATTAGCTGCTTTGCCTGAGTCCCGCCAACCAAATTCACTTTATTCATTTCATTCCCTAGCACCAATTCCTCAAGCAGCTGACCTTAGCTCTACAACAACAGGGAAGCAAAGAAGCTTACAGAAAGCAAAAGTTCCCGCCAGCTTTAGTCCTTCAGGAGAATTTCCACATTTTAAAAGAGAACTTGTTTAAGCTAAAATAGTGACCACAAATTCGAAGATCACAGGGGCTAAGTATAGAACTTAAGGAGAGAAGTAGGCTAGTAAAATTTTTTCCCCCTTGAAACACACCATCTTTCTTTTTTATTGTCCCACTTTCGCTGAAGACTTCATCTTCCCATTAAGTCTGCGTAGGAAAAACGCTGGAGGAATGAGATGACAGAGGCAAGCCTCAGAAGTGAGGAAACACAAGGGAGGGGTAGGACATGCCCATCCTCCCCAGAGGGGGCAGCCACTCCTCAGCTCCGGCTGGTAGGTGCCAGTGGCTGGACTGGCCTCCCTCCCTGGGGACTGTCACTGTCCTTTATGGTGGACATTCATTCTGGATGACCGGTACACATTCTGAGTGGCTATGGCCCTACCGTGTCAGTTGTTATATTTTAGATATCACCTCTCTCAGGTGGTCACAAGAAACCAGGGTTGTCAGATCTTCTGACTATTCAAGACAAGGCAGAAATCCAGATCTTTTTATTTTTAAATGCTGGCAACACATTTTTTTGAAAACTTGAACAAAGCTGGCCAAACAGAACACAGTTGTAAGCCAGATGTGGCCTGTGGATGCTCTGCCCTAACAGGTGGTCTGTGCAAAATGTATTTAAACAGGGAAGCCATCTTGTTTCTTCCACAGGAGAAATGGCCTCAGCAATTCTGTCAGCCACTTTTCCAAATGTAGTTACCCTCTAGACCACATTTCTCAACAACAATAGTCGTAACATTTGGGGCCAGATAAGTCTGTGATGGGGATTGTCTTGTGCCTTGTGGGATGCTGAACAGTATCCTTGGCTTCTCCTTACTGGATGCCAGGAACAACACTCAGGCCCATTGGTGACAACCCCAAATGTCTCCAGACGTTGCCAGATGTCCCCTGGGGGGAAAAATCACCCCTGGTCAAGAACCACCGCTCTAGAGAACAAGAAAGTCTTGGAAAATAATTTATGTTAGTTATGACATCATAAGTGTTATAAATGAGAACCAAGTTGGAGAATGGTAAATGGATGCTGGTAAGCAAGCCTGAATTAACAATTTATTAATAGGAATTTATGGAGACCCTATTGCGTCCTGAACACTGAATTTAAGAAATAAAACATATGAACATAGGGGAAGGGAAGGAAAAATAAAATAAGATGAAAATCAGGAGGTAAACCATAAGAGACACTAAGCTCTAGGAAACAAACTTCGGGTTGCTGGAGGGGAGATGGGGGGTGGGGGATGGGTTAACTGGGTGACAGGCATCAAGGAGGGCACTTGATGTAATGAGCACTGTTATATGCAACTGATGAATCACTAAATTCTACCTCTGAACTAATAATACAGTACATGTTAGCTAAATTGAATTTAAATGAAGAATTTAAAAAATTTTTTAAAAAGAAATGTTATAAAGAGAGCGGTTAACCTCCTATTTGGGAGAACAAAGCTTTGCTAAGACTTTTTTAATACCAATTTAAAAATATCTTTTTGTTCCCGTGTAACCTAGTTTGACTTGTCAAATCATTGTGAACATTCCAAAAATTTTATTTTTTTGCTTATTCAGTAGGATGGGGAAAATTATAACAGGACTTACCTCTTAGTTTGATGTGAAGATTAAATGAAGGAATCCATGTAAAAAACTTATCACAGAGTTGGGGCGCCTGGGTGGCTCAGTCGTTAAGCGTCTGCCTCTGGCTCAGGTCATGATCCCAGAGTCCTGGGATCGAGCCCCGCATCGGGCTCCCTGCTCCACGGGAAGCCTGCTTCTCCCTCTCCCATTCCCCCTGCTTGTGTTCCCTCTCTCGCTGTGTCTCTATCTGTCAAAT